ATCGGAGAGCGTTGTCCTGAAAAGGACAGTTTTGTGTTTGCTGGGAAGCGTTTTCCTGAAAAGAACAGTTTGTGTTCCCTGGAGAGCGTTGTCCTGAAAAGGACAGTTTGTGTTCTCTGGAGAGCGTTGTCCTGAAAAGGACAGTTTGTGTTCCCTGAAGAGCGTTGTCCTGAAAAGGACAGTTTTGTGTTCCCTGGAGAGCGTTGTCCTGAAAAGGACAGTTTTGTGTTCCCTGGAGAGCGTTGTCCTGAAAAGAAAAGTTTTGTGTTCCCTGGAGAGCGTTGTCCTGAAAAGGACAGTTTTGTGTTCATCGGAGAGCGTTGTCCTGAAAAGGACAGTTTTGTGTTTGCTGGGAAGCGTTTTCCTGAAAAGAACAGTTTGTGTTCCCTGGAGAGCGTTGTCCTGAAAAGGACAGTTTTGTGTTCCCTGGAGAGCGTTGTCCTGAAAAGGACAGTTTTGTGTTCCCTGGAGAGCGTTGTCCTGAAAAAGAAAAGTTTTGTGTTCCCTGGAGAGCGTTGTCCTGAAAAGGACAGTTTTGTGTTCATCGGAGAGCGTTGTCCTGAAAAGGACAGTTTTGTGTTTGCTGGGAAGCGTTTTCCTGAAAAGAACAGTTTGTGTTCCCTGGAGAGCGTTGTCCTGAAAAGGACAGTTTTGTGTTCTCTGGAGAGCGTTGTCCTGAAAAGGACAGTTTTGTGTTCCCTGAAGAGCGTTGTCCTGAAAAGGACAGTTTTGTGTTCCCTGGAGAGCGTTGTCCTGAAAAGGACAGTTTTGTGTTCCCTGGAGAGCGTTGTCCTGAAAAGGGCAGTTTTGTGTTCCCTGGAGAGCGTTGTCCTGAAAAGGACAGTTTTGTGTTCCCTGGAGAGCGTTGTCCTGAAAAGGACAGTTTTGTGTTCCCTGGAGAGCGTTGTCCTGAAAAGGACAGTTTTGTGTTTGCTGGAGAGCGTTGTCCTGAAAAGGACAGTTTTGTGTTCATCGGAGAGCGTTGTCCTGAAAAGGACAGTTTTGTGTTCCCTGGAGAGCGTTGTCCTGAAAAGGACAGTTTTGTGTTCCTGGAGAGCGTTGTCCTGAAAAGGACAGTTTTGTGTTCCCCTGGAGCGTTGTCCTGAAAAGGACAGTTTTGTGTTCCTGGAGAGCGTTGTCCTGAAAAGGACAGTTTTGTGTTCCTGGGCGTTGTCCTGAAAAGGACAGTTTTGTGTTCCTGAGAGCGTTGTCCTGAAAAGGACAGTTTTGTGTTCCTGGAGAGCGTTGTCCTGAAAAGGACAGTTTTGTGTTCCTGGAGAGCGTTGTCCTGAAAAGAAAAGTTTTGTGTTCCCTGGAGGGCGTTGTCCTGAAAAGGACAGTTTTGTGTTCATCGGAGAGCGTTGTCCTGAAAAGGAAAGTTTTGTGTTCCCTGGAGAGCGTTGTCCTGAAAAGGACAGTTTTGTGTTCTCTGGAGAGCGTTGTCCTGAAAAGGACAGTTTTGTGTTCCCTGGAGAGCGTTGTCCTGAAAAGAAAAGTTTTGTGTTCCCTGGAGGGCGTTGTCCTGAAAAGGACAGTTTTGTGTTCATCGGAGAGCGTTGTCCTGAAAAGGAAAGTTTTGTGTTCCTGGAGAGCGTTGTCCTGAAAAGGACAGTTTTGTGTTCTCTGGAGAGCGTTGTCCTGAAAAAGGACAGTTTTGTGTTCCTGGAGAGCGTTGTCCTGAAAAGAAAAGTTTTGTGTTCCCTGGAGAGCGTTGTCCTGAAAAGGACAGTTTTGTGTTTGCTGGAGAGCGTTGTCCTGAATAAAGAAGATGGTTGGAGCTCGAAGCCTTCTGATGATGGTTGGAGAGGTGGCCGATAACGAGCTGGTGCTGTTGAGGGCTCGTTGGCTCGCTGCTTATGGTTGTAACCTTTCCCGGGAGTCCTAGTCATATAGCCACGGAACGTGCCTTTTTCATTGTTTTTTGGGCCTTTTTTATATTCTGAATCAGTCTTACAACAACGCTGATTAAGCTTTTGTCCGGTTGTTTTTAACGATTGTGGGAGTGCCGACAGGATACGTCTAGGAAATGTATGTATGTTTGTGTTTTGTGTGTGTTAGAATGTGTGTGATGGTAACACGAGAAATTATTTAAACGTCACAAATTCACAGAATTCATCAATGATTTTCTCTTCATTGAAATTTTATTTTCTATATCTCAACAATCCATAGGCCCCTTCAGCAGCAGCAAAATTATGTAGAGCCCTCGTGAATAGATCCTTACAGTAGAAGCAAAATTATGTAGAGCCCTCGTGAATGGATCCTTGAAGTAGAAACAAAATTATGTAGACCCTTCTCATCCATAGAAGCCTGTAGCAGAAACTAAATTCTGTAGGCCTCATCTAGTGAATTCTAGAACAGCAGTAAAAAAAACTGTAGACCTCCTCCAGAAAGACTTGCTGTAGAACCAATATCTTGTAGACCTCCATCCAGAAAACATTTACTCACTCACTCAGCCACACAAGCTTCGCAGGTCTCAAAATGTTAGGCATTGCTGCTGTGGTTTCTATAGCAACTTCTTTTTTTACGGAATGAAGTTGCTAGCCCGAAACCCAATTGGCTTTGAATTCAGGCTAATTACCAACCACGGGTAAAGAGCTCATTTTCTCTTTGATAACAAAGAAAAGAGTACTGAGCTGCTACGTGGCATCTGTCCTCCTTTACGGCAGCGAATGTTGGACGGTTTCCTCAAAGATAAAGAAGGGACTTGCAAGAAATTCATATTGCAAAATTAAGAGTGGTCTTGCTTTGAGAGAGTCAATGCTGATTTACCTAGAACTAATAACGCCCTTGAAGGTTGGCATGGGACTTTTTGCAGCTAGTGTCGTCCCATCATCCCACAGTATGGAAATTGTTAGACACTCTTAAAAGAGAACAAGACTTGCAAGAAATTCATATTGCAAAAGAATGCTCTTTCTTTGAGAAAGCCAATGCTGATTTACCTATAACTAATAATGCTATTGAAGGATGACATAAGGCTTTTTTGCAGCAAGCATCACCCCATCATCCTACAATATGAAAATTCATAGACGCTCTGATAAGAGAACAGGAATTACAGGAAATCCATATTGTAAAAGTAGATTGCCAAAATATCAAGAACGCCAAGAAATACCGCGACGTAAATGGAAAACTTAAAAATCTAATGGCATGTAACTCAAAGAGAAAATAATGGCATAATCAAGATGTTGACATTCCACATGACTTCAAATGAAAGGTTAGGAAGAAACCCTCATCATTACTGGAAAGAGCAATAACAGCTACTAGACTTGAGAAACATATTTTCCTGCAAAATTATATAAGCTCTATTTTATTTATTATTCACAGAGATGCAATGTTGCCAGACCTATTCAAAAAAATCTATACTGTCAGCTGTATGTAAACACTTTCTAAGATCAATGGTTAAAAATGACTTTCAACACTGTGAACTGGCGCTACAGAGTCACAAAGGATTGTACGAAATAACAGAAAGCACATCCGTTGAGGACTACCAACGGCAGCAACAACTATAATATATAGCACATGTAATTCAAAGAGAGGATAAAGGCATAATCAAGATGTTGACATTCCACATGACTTCAAATGAAAGGTTAGGAAGGAAACCGTCATCAATAGTGGAAAGAGCAATAACAGCTACTAAACTTGAGAAACCTATTTTCCTGCAAAATTATATATTATTATAGACATATTTTGTTTATTATATGCAGATATGCAATATATGGATGTCATGCATGGTGCTAAACCTATTCAGAACTATCCAAACTATCAGCTGTATACAACTGCTTCCTAATGCTGAAAGACCACAAAAATGACAGAAAGCACATCTCTTGAGGACTACCAACAGCAGCAACGACTAAACTGGATAGCACATGCAACTCATAAAGAAAATAACGGCATTGTCAAGATGTTGACATTCCACACGACTTCAAATGAAAGGCTAGGAAGGAAACCTCTATCAATACTGGAAAGAGTAATATCTTGGCGCATGGAACACATTTAATATAGGAGATGGCAAAATTGAATGTAGAATTGGTTACACTAGAGCCAGTTTCGCTCAATACGGCAAATAGCTAAAAAACAACAACAGGAAAACCCAGGAAAGTTGTGCCATGTTTTGAAATAGCCTCGTCAGATCAGGACTTTAATATGGATGCCATGCATGGCACCAGACCCGTTCAGAAATATCTAAACTGGCAGCTGCATACAATCAATTTCTACTATTAATGTTTAAAAATGGCTTTGAACGACTGAAGCCTATGGATCTTGTCGAAGACTATAATTCTTCAAACATTGGCGGTACAAAATCACAGACAAAGAACCGTACAAGATGACTAAAACCACATCACTTGAAGACTACCAACAGCAGCAACAACTAAAATGGATAGCACATGTAACTCAAAGAGAAAATAAAGGCATAATCAAGATGTTGATATTCCACACAACTCCAAATGAAAGGTTAGGAAGGACCCCCATCATTATTGTAAAGAGCGATAACAGCTACTGCATTTGAAAAATCTATTTTCCAAAAAACCGTTTTAAGAGAAAGAGTTTATAAATTTCATTGAATACCGAATGTTTCCTTATAAGGAAATGGTTATTACTGCCAACAGCCACAGCAGAACTCTGCAGAATTCCATCCATCGACAATTGTTGGTAAATGGCTTATCAAAGAATAATTTATCAATGTTCCTTTGACAAACGAATCAACACCATCTATCTTTGCCAAAGAAAAAGAATTAGGGCAAGTGCCAGCTTCCTCAATAGAATTATCATACCCAAGGGAACTCTGTAGAAAATATATTGAGATTTTTTACAGATCAGATGTTAATAATATTACAGTAATCAGATTAGTGCAATCATATTACTATCGTTTGCCAGGTTGCAATCCAGATTTCACACAGCAACAAATTAAAGGTTTTAGTTTCCGATATAAAAAACATTCATCGCACATATAGAAGTATAAATAAACACACACTTATATACGTACAGATATTGCACACACACACATAGATAGATAGATAGATAGATAGATAGATAGATAGATAGATAGATAGGGTTAGTAATGCAAAACAGATGGAAAATTGTCACATATACATCGGCAGTATGAATTGGCTGTATTTTAAGTTTAGATCATATCGTTTTTTTTATTGTGCGTAGTGTCACCACAAATGTATCCACACGTTTCCGGTGTCTGTTTTTTAATTTTAATTTTAGGTCAGCGAATCAGTAGTGATTTTAGCATCAGAAAATAATTCATATTTATCAGTATCTCACTCATTTAAACCGTTATTTAACTCCTCTCTTTAAAACTTCTCTCTGTTAAATTTTAATCCCCACCTTCACCTTTAGGCCTTCCTGTTCCTCTTTCTTCTGTTACACCCTCTCTCTTGAGCTTTCATACATTTCCCTCTCACACTTATGTCCCACACCCACACATATACTCTCACTAAAATTTTGTTCTTTATACCCAAAGTTATATTTTCCGATTTCTTTTTTAATATGTAGGTCTGATGAATTCGTTCCTGATTACGATTCCAATTGAATAAATTATAACCATGGAATATTAGTGCCTGGGCCTTTTTATATATACATATATATATATATATATATATATATATATATATATATATATATATATATATATATACCCAAGAGGATAGAATACAGGTAGAACTCAACGTCCAGGTCAGAGTAAGAGTAATGCAAAGCAGACGGAAAATTTTCACATATGCATCGGAAGTATGAATTGGCTTAGATGATATCGTTTTTTATTGTGCGTAGTGTCACCACAAATGTATCCACACGTTTCCGGTGTCTGATTTTTAATTTTAATTTTAGATCAGCGAATCGGTAGCGAATTATGCATCGAAAAAATAATTCATATTTATCTGTATCTCACTCATTTAAACTGTTAATTAACTCCTCTCTTTAAAACTTCTCTCTATTAAATTTTAATCCCCACCTTCACCTTTAGGCCTTTCCTGTTCTTCTTTCTTCTGTTACACCCTCTCTCTAGAGCTTTCATATAATTCCCTCTCACACTTGTTTCCCACACCCACACATATACTCTCACTAAAATTTTATTTTTTATACCCGGAGTTATATTTTCCAATTTTTTTTTGAATTTGTAGGTCTGATGAACTGGATCGTGATTACGATTCCAATGTAATAAATGATAACCATGGAATATTAGTGTTTGAGCCTTTTATCTCTCTCTCTCTCTCTCTCTCTCTCTCTCTCTCTCTCTCTCTCTCTAAATATATATACAGAATCCTTAAAAATTCATTAGGTAGTATATTTCGTAAACTCAGACATCCATCTCTTCACACCAAATTTTACAAAATAAATGAAGTTCAATTAATTCACTTATACATATATTCAACCTGTAAGGCTTGCATTTATTCCTGACCACTGACAATCCCTTTTTTCTTTGTTTTCAATTCACAACATTATGGTCCGAATCTTCTGAAAAGAAAAGCCATGTCACCAGCGGTTCGGGTATAAAAAAAAATCCGTCTCTCCTGTGCCAGCCTAAATAAATAACCGGTTGGTACCGAAACAAGTGATTAAAGCTACGTGGGTATTGTAGTGGAGTAGAAGTAAAATCAGTGGGTTGCGTTAAGCAAAATGCCGGAACCAGATGCCGAAAGATACGGCCATTATTATAGTTACATGCACTGCACTTTCCTATTGCTAAAATTTGCTCTAGCGTTCTAGTTGTGATAATTACAGCGAATCAATGTTTCGACGTATTTATGTAATCAAGGTTTGCTATGATATCACAAGTTACCATATAAATGGGCGGGTTGGATTTATTAGCTATTATAAAACGAAATGAGTTACCTAGAGGTTGCATCAGATGAAATGGGCGCGATTAATAAATGATTAGCAGGTCGTTGACGTAATTGGAAAATGGGAAGGGGACTATATATTATAATTGTGTATGGTGGGAGTGAAAATGTTGGGTAATAGATGCGCGTTCATGTTCTCACATGTCTGTGTTAAGAAACGCATAGATAGATAGATAGATAGATAGATAGATAGATAGATAGATAGATAGATAGATAGATAGATGTGAACAGACTGAGACAATAGGAGAAAGAGAGAGAGAAAGAGAAAGAGAGAGACAAAGGAATGGATGTAGATAGATAGATAGATAGATAGATAGATAGATAGATAGATAGATAGATGTGAACAGACTGAGACAATAGGAGAAAGAGAGAGAGAAAGAGAAAGAGAGAGACAAAGGAATGGATGTAGATAGATAGATAGATAGATAGATAGATAGATAGATAGATAGATAGATAGATAGATGTGAACAGACTGAGACAATAAGAGAGAGAGAAAGAAAGAGAAAGAGAGAGACAAAGGAATGGATGAAGACAGACAGACAGATAGATAGATAGATAGATAGATAGATAGATAGATAGATAGATAGATAGATATGAACAAACTGAGATAAATAGAGAGAGATAGACAAAGGAAAAAGAAAATGAAAAGAGACAAAGGGGGTGGGGGACCCGGGAAAGTACAGATTCTTTATAGGTGAACAAAATATGCAAAGATAGATGGATATGTACAGAATAAGATAAATACATAGAGAGATAGGTGTGAACAAAAAATATATATATATATATATATATATATATATATATATATATATATATATATATATATATATATATATGAAGAGATAGATGGATACATAGATAGATAGATAATGAACATAATGAAATAAATAGATCGATAATTATGATTATAATTAGATGTAAACAGAATGAGATAGCTATAAATAGAAAAAAGTTAAATAGACAAAAAGATGAATATAATAAGATAGATATGTATATGTAAACAGAATAAGATGATAGATAAGATAGATAGATAGATAGATAGATAGATAGATAGATATGAAGAGACTGAGATAGATAGATAGATAGATAGATAGATAGATAGATAGATAGATATGAAGAGGATAAGAAAGATGCATATATATATATATATATATATATAGATAGATAGATAGATAGATAGATAGAAAGATAGATAGATAGATAGATAGATAGATAGATATGAAGAGACTGAGATAGATAGATAGATAGATAGATAGAGAGAGAGAGAGAGAGAGACTGAGATAGATAGATAGATAGATAGATAGATAGATAGATAGGATAGCTATGTAAATATGAAAAACTGGGCGGAATACACACGCATGCATACACACATATATTAGCGTTACTTGGAAGATCTCTTAATAATAGCTTATTATTGACAATTTATTGATAGTTTTCAGCTATCCATATATATAATAGGCAGTTGTCTGTGTGTATGTGTGTGTGCGCGCGCGCGCGCGTCCGGCTAAAACTAAAAAAACTACAGTAATTAAGTAAACATATATACAGACTCATTATCACCCAAGCCAGCCTTTTTTGGAAACAAAAATTGTCATCTCAGAATTAAAAAGTAAAAAAGAACGGTAATAATTCTTATTCCCGATTAAGATTACAGTTCGTTTTTACTTTTTAATTCTGTGGATACTTTCGAAATGCTATACACGTATTTTTTAAATTTCTGTTCTCCTGAATTTATTTCACATCTATATTAAGTAAAAGCGTAACTTTAAAAAAAATGTATATTAAAACAACAAAGTAAATTTAAAAGAATATTAAATACAATTATTTAACAAAAAGTTTAATATTTATTTATTCAAATATTAACTTAAGCGTATGTGCGAGTATTATTGATTTATTAATATTTTCTTTTTAAATTAGGAAGACATAAGAAAAATTACCATAAAAGGAAAAGAAAGAAATAATTACTGGTAATAAGTTTCTCTTTCTTCTTTCTTTTACCTTTTATTGATTTCTTCTCCTCTTCTTTTTTTTTCTGCTTTAACCTGTGCATTTCTTTCTTTTCTTCTTGTGGTAAATACATATATTTCATTCTTTTCCTTTTATGAGAAATTTGTCTTATATCTTTCCAATTTCTTTTAAAATTATAAAAGAAGTGATGTTTCATAACTAACATTTTTTTAAAAAATCGTTTATAACTATCTTGGATCACCACCTGACGAGATGCCTGAATTTGGCATCGAAACAAAATTCCATTTTTGTAGTAACTTAAATGTTCAAATGTTATATATATATATATTATATATATATATATATATATATATATATATATATATATATATTATTTCTGTCTCACAAAAACACGGCTGTCTGCTCAAATATACGTGCACACTATCAAGGTCCTAGTAATAAGAAATACTACTATTTTTTTAAATCCGTTATTTAATTAAAATTGCTTTGTTTACAGTTCGTGAAAAAGTCAACTTAGCAGATATAGACTTCAAAATACCCCAACGAGATAACTTAAAGTGTAAATTTACCGGGTAATTGGACCTTACTTTACAAGCGGAAATAATCAGCGATGACAGCGATGCCTGAATTCCTCATAAAACTTCACAAGGTAGAATTAGTAAATGCTAAACATTTCAAATACCTCGGCATATAGATCAGTTATAAGAAATTTAGTATAGGAAAAAAAAGGAGATTAAAAATAGAATAGGCTTCATGAGATGAAGTTTCGCCCAACACCAAGAACTGCTACAAAACGAAATCTTTAACCAGAAAGCTCGTGTCATATTCTTAAATCGCTTCATCAAATCGAGACTTTCGTAAGGATGTCATGCATGGAGCCAATTCCATTCAGGAATATCTAAATTCTCAGATGTATAAAACCGGTTCTTAAGACCTATGGTGAAAAAGAAAAGGCCTTGAGCGAGTGAAACCTGAAGGTTTTGGTGAAGACCATCGTTCTTTGAAATTTGTGGAATGACGCTATACAATCAAAAACAAAGAACGGTACCAAATAATAGAAACTGCATCACTCGAGGACTACCAACAACAGCAACAACAAAAATGATTCAAAGAGAAAATAATGACATACTCAAGATGGTGACATTTCACAGCACTTTAAATTTTAAGATTAGCAAAGAAACATAATAATTCAAAGTCGGAAATTAGTAAATGCTAAACATGTCAAAAACCTCGGCGTATGGATCGGTTATAATAAATTTCGAATAGGAGAAAAGGAAATTAAACACAGAATAGGCTTCGTCGGATAAATTTTCGCTCAACACCGCAAATTTCTACAAAAATAATAAAAAGAAAACATCTTGAAAGCTCGTGTCGTATTCTTAAAAACAGCCTAGCCTTGTCAGATCGAGACTTTCACATGAGACAATAGTTGCTAACCATTACACCACGTCGAGGTGACCCTTTTTTATATATATATATATATATATATATATATATATATATATATATATTGTTGTGGATTCGGGATGAAATCCGGTCTCAGATGAATGACAAACGCAGTAATGAAATATAGCAAAAAAATATATTGTCGTAATAATACAATTTGTAATTACGGTTAGTAGATCCAGAAATGCGGTTAGTAGCAATAATAATATATATACCGTCTGGGAAATTCAGTATCGAAATAGGACTTCCTTCTGAGTCTACGTGCTCGCAACTGTGACTCCTACAAAGCGGTTACCTCACTCTCTCACTGTTCACTGTATCACTCTATCAGTGTATCTCTGCGTCTCTGTTACTCTCGGGTATTCCCCGGCAGCAGTACAAGTACACACTGGTCGAGTCCACTTGTATGAAAAAGGGTGGACCCCTTAACACACACACACACACACACACACACACACATATATATATATATATATATATATATATATATATATATATATATATATAAAACATGTCAAAATCCTAACAATTGTAATCGCGTTTCGATGCGTATTAATGCATCTCATCAGGCGATTGTTGCAATTGACTGATGAGATATATTGATACGCATCGAAACACGATTACAATTGTGTAGCGATTTTGACATGTTTTCGGCGTAATATCCTAAAAATAAATAATATTACTCTACTTTGTATCGAGCACTCTTACGAACGTTAACTCGTACTCTATTCGTTCTCATCTTGCCTATATATATATATATATATATATATATATATATATAGCATATTTTCATTCAAATATGTTTGGTTAAATAATTTAGACGTATTATGTGTATTTTAGTTTTAATCCTTTCAAGTCTACGAATTAATTTCCAAAATATTCTTTCAAATAATTTTTATTTTCCCAAGGACTTTCAATCTCATTTGAGACCATCTTCAGGGATTGCATATCTATGGATATGTCATGCGTTAACACGGTAAATTCAAAATATCCTTTATCTCTCAAGAGAAGTAAGTTATGTGATATTTTTTAATTATATATATATATATATATATATATATATATATATATACAGGGTGCGATGGGTAAATTGTTACCATTTTATTTTTTTAATTTCGCACATGCGCTTCGTTTTTGATTTTGACGACTGCACAATATAGTAGGGTCAGTTAGGCGCCCTCTGTGAGAAAAAGATCACCATGACGCAATTCATTCTGCCAGAAATTTGGAAATGGCATGCTGTACGGCTTGACACTAGCGCCAGATTATCCAATACGAACATTTCAGAGTGTTTAGGTGGCATTCTGAGGAGAATGCAAAAGATTCAGAAAGAGTTCGATGAGTCTAATATTGATTACGAAGGTACGGCAGTTCGGAAAACTCCATCTGATCGTTAAGAAAAGAACTCCTGAATTTGTTGCTGAGGGCCTCAGACTCAACACGGAAGCTTACATCAAGTGACTTGAGGAGGTCGTGTTACCCTGGATGAACAGGATGGGTGCTGGAAGACCGCATATATGGCAGCAGGACTCTGCACCCTACCACACAAGCAGAAGAACCCAATCATGGCTGTCAGACAATTTCTGTGACCATATCACTCCTTACATCTTGCCACCTAGACTGCAACCCCACTTGATTATTATGCCTGGGGTGCAGTTGAGCGAGAGACAAACAAAACTCTTTCTAACACCAAGGATGAAATGAAGGCAAGGATTATGGCAGCACTCACAAGGAGACAGTTCGGAAGAGTTGCAGGTGATTCCGAAGACGTTTGGAGGCCGTGTTTGAAGCCATTGGGGATTTTATTGAATAGATTTACTCTTTAGAATCTCAAGATATTTTTGTGTAATTTTATGAATATATCTGTTGAAATGAGATGTCAATGTTATTTTAATTTTGTGTAATACAGACGACAATTTATCTATCGCATCCGATATATATATATATACACACACACATATATATATATATATATATATATATATATATATATATATATATATATATATATATGGGATGCGATAGATAAATTATCTATATTACACAAAAACGAAAAAATATATATGCACGTGTTTATCGTTGCTTGAAATCATCCATGTAAACAATAACAGACTATCATCACTGTCTTGTCCGTATATTGCTCAATATATTGTACAATAATTGACAGCTTTCATAATGGCTTATGTAAGCCGAAAGCTTAGATTGGATTAAAAAATATGTATCAATATTGGGATTTTCTTTCTTCGTTTAATGATAATGTTATTAAGCTTATCAGACTTTATGAAAAGAATTTACATAAAATAAATAGACAACACTTTACTGAAACATATATTTATATATATATATATATATATATATATATATATATATGGATGCGATAGATAAATTGTCGTCTATATTACACGAAAATGAACAAATGTCAGATTTTCCTTTGATGAGCTCAGCTTTTCGCACTTTTGATTAGATAGCAGAAGACGTAGTAGAAACCTTCGCCATGCGAAGTTCATTGTGCAGAATATTGTCAACTCTCTTACCAATTCTTGCTGATAGAATTGGTTATTTGATTTATAGCCAATCGCCTGTCATCCATCGCCATGTTGTGCACACGTTCAATGTTTTTTTTTTCTCAATGGTGGCAGTTGCAGGACGTCCAAACCTTGGGTGATCTCACTTGCTCACCTAAATTTAGCTTTGGTACTGTTTATAAAGTGGGAGTGTCATCTCCTACTCTAGCAAACACGTCAGCGGTGAATGTCCTTTTTTTCTGTGGGTACTTGATAACACCATGATACTAAATTCTGTCCATTTTCAAAACGAAGTCTCTACTATCAGATGTCTTTGAACAGTTAGATGTCAGTTTACTCGGAAAGAAACAATGCAGTTGTCAATTAGAAAAATTGAAATGATTGCAAGCACACAGCACTAGCATCTGTCTTTGATTGTCAGTCTACGAAAATTCCAGCCAACCCACCCTCGTATAATCAAATTTAATCATGAAATTTAAAAGAATATTCATCTGTAAACACTCTACATTCTATCTATCTATCTATCTATCTATCTATCTATCTATCTATCTATCTATCTATCCAAGATCCTTCAATTCTATCTATCTATCTATCTATCTATCTATCTATCTATCGAAGTTTTTTTTTTTCTTTGAATATTTTTAAGTTCTTTTGTTTGGCTGAAAAGTTGTTTTAATCCTAATTGACCTCACGTGACCTCCAGTGACTTGGAGGTCGGCACTACTTTTCATTCCAACCTATCGCAATGTTCCTATTTATTTCCAAGAATACAATACTGATCATGAAAGCTAAAAATTAATTCTAATTGTGCTGACCTCTGGTAACCTCAGAGGTTAAACTGAAACCCATCCGCTTTATCATTTGTAAGGTCAAAAATCATTTTTTCTACTTGTGTCGGAATTTCTGGAATGAGACGTCATCCATCATTTTGGTAATGTAACGGTTAGCGACTCAGAAAATAGAAATCAACATGACGAGTTCGAATTCAAATGAATTTCAATATATATATATATATATATATATTCAAGACATTGCTCGCAATAGATGTTATTATAGAAACAACGCTTTGGCCATCATCAGGTGTCAATTTGGTTGAAACGAGATATCTGTTAATTATTACGTTGTGTCTTTGATGTTTGTTCCAGCTGAAATTGCATTTCACTACCTGACATAGGAATTGAACACATGACCACTAGATTTTTAGCCAACTCCTAAAGACGTCGGCCTTTTGGAGTCTTTTGTATCCAATGTCAAATGGCTTCGATATTTGATTATCATGGTGGGTTCGTACCGCTTTTCATAATTTATTGTTTCAATTCTTGATTGGTATACAGTTGTTATGGACAACTCAAATCAATGGATACCTGATGATGTTCCAGATGAGACTTGACCGAAACGTTGTCTCTATAATAACATCTATGCACCAACCAAGATGAAGGCGATAATTCGAAATAATAAAAAGTATATTAACAATTACTCATGTCATCTCGTCTACAGTCACTTTCTCACAGACGTGATGTAGCTTCCCTCTATTTTCATGGCAATTGCTCTGACGCGCTATTTTCACTGGTACCCCAGCTGCATGAATTTAAGCGTGCTACTAGGTTGGCATCTCGGTCCCTCCCTTTCACTGTCGAAACAGTTAAATGTAAACACTTCTTCTACTCCAACAGCTTCTTCTCTTGCACCTCCCATCAGTGGAACTCCCTTCCGCTTACTTGCTTCCCTGATAGCTATAATCTTCAAATATTCAAATGTAATGTCAATCGACATCTTCTGATGCCTTGATCTTGATCCCTGTCCTTCTCTATATCCTTCCCTCAAACACCCCCGCTTTAGTCTTGCTCTCAATCCTCTGTAACCCCTTGCGTGCTAGTGGCACTCCCGCCTTGCTTGGGGTGATATGCTTAAAAAAAAAATCTCAGAAATGAAATACTAAATGATAACTTTCACAATGTTTACGGCTACATCACGTTGAAACCCCGATTCCTGTACGATCACCGAAGTTAACCAACATTAAGCCTGGTCAGTGCCTAGAAGGGTGACCACTTGGGAATATAAGGTGCTGTAAGCATGGATGTGCAGATGGTGTAATAGATAACGGCTCAGAATTATTAATCGAAGAGCCGATTTCCAATTCCCTTGCGAGCAAATAACCTCGGGAACTGTATAAATACACCTTTTCTTCTCCCCAGCTATGGGTTAATTAGTGAGAATTGTATCACTAAATCCATTATTATTACCCCCATCACCACAAAAAATAATATTCTTACAATTTAAAAAAATATATTTTCTAGTTTTAGATAATCTGCAATGGGTCGATAAGCCGTAAAAACGAATCCATGAACATTACTTTCACAAATATTCTTGGGAAAGGTATGAAACTGACTCTTCTCTCTGCACTCAGTTATGGGTTAAATACAGAGGTGATTGGATTCTCTTGCATCCAGGTGGCAACCAATCTAGGAGAAGGAAAACTTTGAATTCAAAACCAGCCTGAAGATGGAAGAGCTCCGTCAGGTTAACTTGCCCTAAACACACCATTGCAATGGGTTACGAAACTTGTCACGTGATATTATTTACCTTCAGACTAACGTCCACATTTTTGTTGTAATTATCGCAACGTTTTGGCTGTTGTGCTCTCCGGCCTTCTTTAAGTATCTGTCGACCCGGATAACCTCCAGGGTATTTCGAATTGAACCCTTTATTTTATTTAAGGGGGGCAGGCTGTTCCTATTTCGCTTGATCTGTCTACGGATCTATCATCCTCTGTTCTTTATCAGTGTTAGTTATTCCTCTTTTTATTTTGACAGCTTAAAAACAATAAAAAGTGAAAACAAAATAATTAGCATATAAAAGCTTTCATACTTAATAAAACTTTGTTGTTTAATAAAACTTTTTTAGAAGTAAATGGTACGAACAGTGGAATTTAATTCCATCCGTTCTTTCTCTCATTTGTGTATACATACATACATATATATATATATATATATATATATATATATATATATATATACAATAAAAAATCCCAAATCACCTCATATAGGGAAAAAGATAATTTCGGCAGACGAAAATATAGGTCGTCTTGTCTGTCTTATTAATCCCGGTGGTCAGCCTTAATATTTTGTATTATTAGAATCCATTTGGATTATATTATATACCAAAGGATTTGATAACTTTTTATTTATATATATATATATATATATATATATATATATATATATATATATATATATATATATATATAGTTTATGCAAAATATATATATATATATATATATATATATATATATATATAGAGAGAGAGAGAGAGAGAGAGAGAGAGAGAATATGTTGATTAATAAAAAGGAGAAAACGAAAGGAAGAAATCCCAGCGTACACCAGTACTATAAATTTTTTGAGGGGGGTCGACATTTTACCTTAAATCCCTATGATTAAAACCATCAATATGTCCTATGAGTATCAATTTTTCTAAGCCCCCTTTCCTCATTATGTGCCCGAAAAATTTCAACTTTTTCTTTCTGAAACTGCGTATACGTGTTTTTTCGTTGTTGCCTTTGTGTTCAATCCATGGTAATCTCAGCATCCTTCTGTAGAACCACATTTCTGATACTTCAAATCCCTTCACCATCTATGATGAGATGGCCCAACATTCACTGCCATACATGAGTATAGATATTACATCACAGAGTTCATTAATCTTTTCTTTGCTTCTAAGGAGATTTTCCTGTTTCTTAATACTTTGCTTAGCTTCTAGTGGAATATTTCGCTATCCTAATACACTTTTGGATTTCGGTGGCACCTTTTCTGTTCTCTGTTCTAACCGCCCCCCCCCCTAGATACTTAAATCTTTTTGTTTATTTAATTTTTGTATATCTAATTTTTAATTCGCCTCGCCTGTTCCTTTTGCCGACACATCAACATTCTATTTTCTGACAGCTGAGGTTTAGTCCTTTCATCACGCTTTTTTTTTTCACTACCTCATGCAGGACTTCCAACAGCTTCCTTTCTGTCTGCTATTTACTCGGTGTCATCTGCATAATGTTGATAAGATTGTAATCACCAATAATAAGATTCCAGGGCAGTTGCGTACTAGACATTTGCGTCTGGCACAATTGCGTACTAGGCAATTGTATCTCTGGATATTTGCGTCCCTAGACAATTGCGTAGTACATAATTGCGTACCTCTGATAATTCTTTGAAGCTTTTAAAGGCAATTATCATAAATGTTGTAAAATCATAGGTAGTAATCATAATTTAAAAAAAAAAAGGAATAAAAGAAGAAAATTAAAAAAAATAAGTTTTTTTTTTTAAAAATGTAATGACAGATTAACAGTGTTGCAAGATCGCTCTACAAATCGCCAGAATGTTTTTTATTTCATCCGCGTTTTTCTTATGATGGTGGCAGCTGTAATTTTCCACGTCCACAAATATTTTACCATCAGTCTTTGATTTTCGGAACTTCGCCATGTGTTCCAAATAAAAAATATAATCTATAAAATCCAAAATCTATTAGATGTTTGTGGTACGCACTGCTGGAGTGAACTGAAACTGCTAGTTTAATTTTCTCCTGCTTTAAAAAAGAATTTTTTCTCTCTTTTTTTTTTTTATTTATAGTAACTAACTTTCTACTTGTTTAGAGTAATTAAAGGTACTGATGTGCAAATTTTTACAATTAAACAACTCTTTAGAAATAAAAGATAACTTCAAAAAAATTATCAGAGTTACGCAATTATTCAGGTACGGATTTGTCTAAGGACGCAATTATCCAGGAACGCAATTGTCTGGTACTCAAATGTCCAGTATGCAACTCTCCGTCCACCCAATAATGAATCCTGGTAAGACTTTTAATTCTCTCAGGGTTGCTTCACTGTAAATATTGAATAAATAAACAAAATATATATTAACATAGTTACACCCTTGTGTAAATTAATTGAAACAATTACTTTAGTTTCCTTTCTTTCACCATACGGTCAGTTTTAGACCCACTGGAATGACAGGGTGTAATCGATTTCTATTTTTTCCCCGGATTAGGTCATTTGCAGTGCGTGCAGTAATATGAATCTATATTAGATAGATAGATAGATAGATAGATAGATAGATAGATAGATAGATAGATAGATAGATATGAACAGGCTGAGATAGATAGATAGCTACACACTTATGCAAATTAATTGAAGCAACCGCTTTAGTTTCTTCTCTTTCACCATACGGTCAGTTTTAGACCCACTGGAGTGACGGGTATAATCGATTTCTATTTTTTTCCTCCGATTACGTCATTTGCAATGGTGTGCAGTAATATGAATATATTTTCAGAGTGTATAATGAAAATGTTTGGCCTTGAAAAGTATCGCGTCATCCGTAATTGTTTCACGCCCAGAAACTATTGTCTCGACTGTCGATTAGTTGTCCTACAGCCATTGTCTGCGATGGACGTTACTCCAAGGAAGCGTACGAAAATTGTAACGCTGCACGAACACACTGGCAAAGCCTTACAGAGAGAATCTCATCACGGGTATTATAGACGTGTTGTACCGTAACCCCAAAATCAATGAGGACTGCTCCAAATTAATGAATTCCATGCCAAATCGCACCAAAGAGATTCTAAGAATTAAAGGCGGGCATAGAAAGTACTATGTGCACTAGGTAATGTTTCATTAGAAAAATACGAAAAAAATAAATAATAACGAAATTATTCGTTTCGTTTCAATTAATTTGCACAAGGGTGTAAATAATGATTAATTTCAAAACATTATCATTTTAAAATAACAAAAAAAAAATGCGCAATTATTTTTGCCCCAACCTGTCGTATGAATTGTAAGACATGCTAAATAATCAAAAGCGGAGAAATCTCAAGGTAGGTTTAAAAACCAACAAAAATAAAATAAAAAGAAATGTTTAATCATTACGTTCGGAAAAAAATGATAAAAATAAAGGCTGAAGAACTGGAAGAAATCCAGGAATACACCTTAGAACATTAAAGAAATACCAGGAAAATTAAATATGCATTGATAGCACAGGAAGCATTTGATAAATAAAAAATGTAATTTTCAGCTGATAGGCTTAAAACAATTGGTCTATTAATGCCTGCTATGATGTACGGATGCAAACAAACTCGGAAATTGTTGTAGAGTAGTTTTCACAGTGGAGGCTTGTATTTCAATAAGTCGTCCTAAATTAGGTTCGACGTACAAAACGTTAGGAACTTGAAATAAGAGTTAATGACGCAGCAATCTAGTTGTGATGGTTGGTACTTCAATGTCCGATATCGACTGACTCGCTCAACACCACTGAGCCCCAACTGGCGACCACTAGTACTACTACTACTTATTATATGTGGGAGAGTCTATTAATAATAGAATAGGTACGTCAGGTATAACAGAAATGCACAAGGTTCAACGGAAAGAGCCATTAGGGAGATAACTCTGACAAATAGAAAAAGTCAGGGAACATGCCGAGATAAAAGTGATGAAACGAGAAAAATGTAGGTGCGCGGAATAGAAGATAAGTAAAAAGAGGAAGAAAATGCTCCGTTTGATTGGCAGCCATTTTGGAACGAAAATAATGTAAAGAGATCGGGCAGAAGATGAAAAGATCAGATAGAACAGTTTACTGGGAAGATATAACAAAGAATAGCATCGGCATGGTCGTCATGGGAGAATTTTGGAAAAATCATTGCAGGTTGATGTAGTATTAGTAATATTATCTTGAATTTTATTATTAGATGAAGCATTGTCATCTTCATTTCAATTGTTTTATTTCCACTAATAGTTGTAATATTATTATATTGTATTTGGGATGAAACATTGTCTACCATTATACATTTTTTCTTCTTCATTTCATTTTACTTTTATTTCTAATTGTTGTATTTGTATTAATAATGTTATCGTGATCATATCGTGGCCGAGTGGTTAGAACGTTTGCAGTCTGACAATGAGTCTCGAATTCGAATCTCACCATGGTCGACTTGTCAGAAAGGCGGCACCTTTGACCCAAGCCATGTGAGTGAAATTGGATGGACTGAACCCTTGGGGGTCGTCGATAGCTGTGCTAGCACAAAGTCGCAAGTCATCGTGTCCGACGGCTTGAGAGTGTTCTGGCTTTGTTCAAATTGTTGATCACACTAGATAACACGCTTTCTCCCAGAAACTGAAACTAAGGTCTGCTCAGCATAGTTGCAGTATAAACCACAGATGGGTTCTGTGCTATCACTAGTAAATAATCCGAAGACGCCCTAGTAACTTAATCACTTACAAAAATACATGTTCATAAATTTGTACTATGCAAAATGGACGTACTAAAACAACGAGAGTCAGGATATATATAAGTATGTGTGTGGATATATATATATATAAAAGTATACACACACACGAATATATATAATACTTTTTTTCTTGTAATGCACTAAAGTGTAGGTGGGGTCAGATTTTCGGGTAGTATTTAGGCATCGTGCTTATCGATAAAAACGTTTCTTGCCTTGGGTGCTTCTTTGTATGTACCTATTTGCCGAAAAGGAAACTTGGGTTTTTGCTGGAATAGTGATTTTATATTATTTAATAGAGATATAAAACTCGTTTCTTTGTCTTTTTCATTTGTAATTTTTCTTTCTTCTTTTTGTAAAGAGTTTGATGTCTTTTTGGGACAGTTTTCTTTTTCAGACTCTTCTTTTTCCAAAAGTTTTTTTTTAACGTCTGCTTATTGCACATCTCGCTTCTCTTTCGTTTTTTTATCGCCTGCTTATTGCACATCTCGCTTCTCTTTCATTTTTTTTATCATCTGCTTATTGCACATCTCGCCTCACTTTCGTTTTTTTTATCATCTGCTTATTGCACATCTCGCCTCTCTTTCGTTTTTTTTATCATCTGCTTATTGCACATCTCGCCTCTCTTTCGTTTTTTTATCGTCTGCTTATTGCACATCTCGCTTCTCTTTCATTTTTTTTATCATCTGCTTATTGCACATCTCGCCTCTCTTTCTTTTTTTTATCATCTGCTTATTGCACATCTCGCCACTCTTTTCGTTTTTTATCATCTGCTTATTGCACATCTCGCCTCTCTTTCGTTTTTTTTATCGTCTGCTTATTGCACATCTCGCTTCTCTTTCATTTTTTTTATCATCTGCTTATTGCACATCTCGCCTCTCTTTCGTTTTTTTTATCATCTGCTTATTGCACATCTCGCCTCTCTTTCGTTTTTTTTATCATCTGCTTATTGCACATCTCGCCTCTCTTTCGTTTTTTTATCGTCTGCTTATTGCACATCTCGCTTCTCTTTCATTTTTTTTATCAACTGCTTATTGCACATCACGCCTCTCTTTCGTTTTTTTTATCATCTGCTTATTGCACATCTCGCCTCTCTTTCGATTTTTTTATCGTCTGCTTATTGCACATCTCGCTTCTCTTTCATTTTTTTTATCATCTGCTTATTGCACATCTCGCCTCTCTTTCGTTTTTTTATCGCCTGCTTATTGCACATCTCGCTTCTCTTTCATTTTTTTTATCATCTGCTTATTGCACATCTCGCTTTCTTTTTTTTTTTTTTATCGCCTGCTTATTGCACATCTCGCTTCTTTTCTTTTTTTTTTATCATCTGCTTATTGCACATCTCGCCTCTCTTTCGTTTTTTTTTTATCATCTGCTTATTGCACATCTCGCCTCTCTTTTTTTTTTTTTTTTATCATCTGCTTATTGCACATCTCGCATATCTCTCTTTTTTTTTTTTTTTATCATCTGCTTATTGCACATCTCGCCTCTCTTTCTTTCGTTTTTTTTATCGTCTGCTTATTGCACATCTCGCTTCTCTTTCATTCTTTTTATCATCTGCTTATTGCACATCTCGCCTCTCTTTCATTTTTTTTTTATCATCTGCTTATTGCACATCTCGCCCTCTTTCTTTTCTTTTTTTTTTATCATCTGCTTATTGCACATCTCGCCTCTCTTTCGTTTTTTTTTATCATCTGCTTATTGCACATCTCGCTTCTCTTTCATTTTTTTTATCATCTGCTTATTGCACATCTCGCCTCTCTTTCGTTTTTTTTTATCATCTGCTTATTGCACATCTCGCCTCTCTTTCGTTTTTTTTATCATCTGCTTATTGCACATCTCGCCTCTCTTTCGTTTTTTTTATCATCTGCCTATTGCACATCTCGCTTCTCTTTCATTTTTTTTATCATCTGCTTATTGCATATCTCGCCTCTCTTTCGTTTTTTTTATCATCTGCTTATTGCATATCTCGCCTCTCTTTCGATTTTTTTTATCGCCTGCTTATTGCACATCTCGCTTCTCTTTCATTTTTTTTATCATCTGCTTATTGCACATCTCGCTTCTCTTTCGTTTTTTTTATCGTCTGCTTATTGCACATCTCGCTTCTCTTTCATTTTTTTTATCGTCTGCTTATTGCACATCTCGCCTCTCTTTCGTTTTTTTTATCGTCTGCTTATTGCACATCTCGCTTCTCTTTCATTTTTTTTTTTATCATCTGCTTATTGCACATCTCGCCTCTCTTTCGTTTTTTATCGCCTGCTTATTGCACATCTCTCTTCTTTTTTTTTTTTATCATCTGCTTATTGCACATCTCGCCTCTCTTTGTTTTTTTATCGCCTGCTTATTGCACATCTCGCTTCTCTTTCATTTTTTTTTTATCATCTGCTTATTGCACATCTCGCCTCTCTTTTTTTTTTTTTTTATCATCTGCTTATTGCACATCTCGCCTCTCTTTTTTTTTTTTATCATCTGCTTATTGCACATCTCGCCTCTCTTTTTTTTTTTTATCATCTGCTTATTGCACATCTCGCCTCTCTTTCGTTTTTTTTATCGTCTGCTTATTGCACATCGCTTCTCTTTCATTTTTTTTTATCATCTGCTTATTGCACATCTCGCCTCTCTTTTTCGTTTTTTTATCATCTGCTTATTGCACATCTCGCCTCTCGTTTTTTTTTTCGTTTTTTTATCATCTGCTTATTGCACATCTCGCCTCTCTTTCGTTTTTTTATCATCTGCTTATTGCACATCTCGCTTCTCTTTCATTTTTTTTTTTTATCATCTGCTTATTGCACATCTCGCCTCTCTTTCGTTTTTTTTATCATCTGCTTATTGCACATCTCGCCTCTCTTTCGTTTTTTTTATCATCTGCTTATTGCACATCTCGCCTCTCTTTCGTTTTTTTTTTTTTATCATCTGCCTATTTTAATATCTCGCTTCTCTTTCATTTTTTTTATCATCTGCTTATTGCATATCTCGCCTCTCTTTCGTTTTTTTTATCATCTGCTTATTGCATATCTCGCCTCTCTTTCGATTTTTTTTATCGCCTGCTTATTGCACATCTCGCTTCTCTTTCATTTTTTTTATCATCTGCTTATTGCACATCTCGCTTCTCTTTCGTTTTTTTTATCGTCTGCTTATTGCACATCTCGCTTCTCTGTTTTTTTCTCTTTCATTTTTTTTATCGTCTGCTTATTGCACATCTCGCCTCTTTCGTTTTTTTATCGTCTGCTTATTGCACATCTCTTCTCTTCTTTCATTTTTTTATCGTCTGCTTATTGCACATTTTTCGCCTCTCTTTTTTTTTTTTTATCGTCTGCTTATTGCACATCTCGCTTCTCTTTCATTTTTTTTATCATCTGCTTATTGCACATCTCGCCTCTCTTTCATTTTTTTTTTTTTTTATCGTCTGTTTTTTTTTATTGCACATCTCCTTCTCTTTCATTTTTTATCGTCTGCTTATTGCACATCTCGCTTCTCTTTCATTTTTTTTATCGTCTGCTTATTGCACATCTTTCTCTTCATTCTTTCATTTTTTTATCATCTGCTTATTGCACATCTCGCCTCTCTTTCTTTTTTTTTTTTTATCATCTGCTTATTGCACATCTCGCCTCTCTTTCGTTTTTTTTTTATCGTCTCTCTTTATTGCACATCTCGCTTCTCTTTCATTTTTTTTTATCATCTGCTTATTGCACATCTCGCCTCTCTTTCGTTTTTTTTTTATCGTCTGCTTATTGCACATCTCCTTCTCTTTCATTTTTTTTCGTCTGCTTATTTTTTACATCTCGCCTCTCTTTCGTTTTTTTTATCATCTGCCTTATTGCACATCTTCTCTTTCATTTTTTTTTTTTTTTTATCGTCTGCTTATTGCACATCTCGCCTCTCTTTCGTTTTTTTTTTTTTATCGTCTGCTTATTGCACATCTCGCCTCTCTTTCGTTTTTTTTTATCATCTGCTTTTTTTACATCTCGCTTCTCTTCCATTTTTTTTTTTATCATCTGCTTATTGCACATCTCGCCTCTCTTTCGTTTTTTTTATCATCTGCTTATTGCACATCACGCTTCTCTTTCATTTTTTTTATCATCTGCTTATTGCACATCTCGCCTCTCTTTCGTTTTTTTTATCGTCTGCTTATTGCACATCTCGCCTCTTTTTCGTTTTTTTTTTATCATCTGCTTATTGCACATCTCCTTCTCTTTCATTTTTTATCATCTGCTTATTGCACATCTCGCCTCTCTTTCGTTTTTTTTTTTATCGTCTGCTTATTGCACATCTCGCTTCTCTTTTTTTTTTTTTTTATCGTCTGCTTATTGCAAAACATCTCGCCTCTCTTTCGTTTTTTTTTTATCATCTGCTTATTGCACATCTCGCTTCTCTTTCATTTTTTTATCGTCTGCTTATTGCACATCTCGCCTCTCTTTCGTTTTTTTTTTATCGTCTGCTTATTGCACATCTCGCCTCTCTTTCGTTTTTTTTTATCATCGGCTTATTGCACATCTCGCTTCTCTTTCATTTTTTTTTATCATCTGCTTATTGCACATCTCGCCTCTCTTTTCGTTTTTTTTTTATCATCTGCTTATTGCACATCTCGCCTCTCTTTCGTTTTTTTTTTATCGTCTGCTTATTGCACATCTCGCCTCTCTTTCATTTTTTTTTATCGTCTGCTTATTGCACATCTCGCTTCTTTTTCGTTTTTTTATCGTCTGCTTATTGCACATCTCGCTTCTCTTTTCGTTTTTTTTTATCGTCTGCTTATTGCACATCTCGCCTCTCTTTTTTTTTTTTTATCGTCTGCTTATTGCACATCTCGCTTCTCTTTCATTTTTTTTATCGTCTGCTTATTGCACATCTCGCCTCTCTTTCGTTTTTTTTATCGTCTGCTTATTGCACATCTCGCTTCTCTTTCATTTTTTTTATCGTCTGCTTATTGCACATCTCGCTTCTCTTTCATTTTTTTATCGTCTGCTTATTGCACATCTCGCTTCTCCTTCATTTTTTTTATCGTCTGCTTATTGCACATCTCGCCTCTCTTTTTTTTTTATCGTCTGCTTATTGCACATCTCGCCTCTCTTTCATTTTTTTTATCGTCTGCTTATTGCACATCTCGCTTCTCCTTCATTTATTTTATCGTCTGCTTATTGCACATCTCGCTTCTCTTTCGTTTTTTTTATCGTCTGCTTATTGCACATCTCGCTTCTCTTTTCATTTTTTTTATCGTCTGCTTATTGCACATCTCGCTTCTCTTTCGTTTTTTTTATCGTCTGCTTATTGCACATCTCGCTTCTCCTTCATTTTTTTTTATCGTCTGCTTATTGCACATCTCGACTCTCATTCGTTTTTTTTATCGTCTGCTTATTGCACATCTCGCTTCTCCTTCACTTATTTTATCGTCTGCTTATTGCACATCTCGCTTCTCTTTCGTTTTTTTTATCGTCTGCTTACTGCACATCTCGCTTCTCCTTCATTTTTTTTTATCGTCTGCTTATTGCACATCTCGACTCTCTTTCGTTTTTTTTATCGTCTGCTTATTGCACATCTCGCTTCTCTTTCATTTTTTTATCGTCTGCTTATTGCACATCTCGACTCTCCTTCATTTATTTTATCGTCTGCTTATTGCACATCTCGCTTCTCTTTCGTTTTTTTTATCGTCTGCTTATTGCACATCTCGCTTCTCCTTCATTTTTTTTATCATCTGCTTATTGCACATCTCGCTTCTCTTTCGTTTTATTATCGTCTGCTTATTGCACATCTCGCTTCTCCTTCATTTTTTTATCGTCTGCTTATTGCACATCTCGCCTCTCTTTCGTTTTTTTTTATCGTCTGCTTATTGCACATCTCGCCTCTCTTTCATTTTTTTTATCGTCTGCTTATTGCATATCTCGCCTCTCTTTCGTTTTTTTATCGTCTGCTTATTGCACATCTCGCTTCTCTTTCGTTTTTTATCGTCTGCTTATTGCACATCTCGCCTCTCTTTCGTTTTTTTTATCATCTGCTTATTGCACATCTCGCCTCTCTTTTTTTTTTTTTTTATCATCTGCTTATTGCACATCTCTTGCTTCTCCTTCATTTTTTTTTTATCGTCTGCTTATTGCACATCTCGCCTCTCTTTCGTTTTTTTTATCGTCTGCTTATTGCACATCTCGCCTCTCTTTTTTTTTTTATCGTCTGCTTATTGCACATCTCGCCTCTCTTTTTTTTTTTTATCGTCTGCTTATTGCATATCTCGCCTTTCTTTTTTTTTTTATCGTCTGCTTATTGCACATCTCGCTTCTCTTTCGTTTTTTTTATCGTCTGCTTATTGCACATCTCGCCTCTCTTTCGTTTTTTATCGTCTGCTTATTGCACATCTCGCCTCTCTTTCGTTTTTTTTATCATCTGCTTATTGCACATCTCGCTTCTCCTTCATTTTTTTTATCGTCTGCTTATTGCACATCTCGCCTCTCTTTCGTTTTTTTATCGTCTGCTTATTGCACATCTCGCCTCTCTTTCGTTTTTTTTTATCGTCTGCTTATTGCACATCTCGCTTCTCTTTCATTTTTTTTTTGTCTTAATTTTTAATTCCCGACTTTTCTTCCTTTAGTCTCTCTTCAAATCAATCTCTTTTTATTTATTTCTCTCTCTTTTCTTATTTTCCTAGTTTCATCTTCCTTTCACATGCAATCAACTTGTTTTTAATTTCTCTCTCTTTTCGCTTTCCCTTTCATTTTTTTCTTCTCTAGAAAATTTCTCTCTGTAGACTTTCTTTCTGCTTTGCTTTTTTCTTCTTTCTTAATTTCACCCATCACATTTTTTTAACTTCTTATCTACCTAGCCACGAACATTGTCTCCTTTTCCAACGTCTCTCTATGTCTCTATCTGCAATCTCTCTTTTTTTCTTCTCTCTGTCAATCTGAAATCTCTTCTTGCGAAATTCTTCAGACCGTTAAATTAACTTCTTTCATTTCTTTCTTCATTCCCTTTCTCATTCTAAATCTCACCCTCTCTCATTCTAAATCTTACTCCCTCTCTATCTAAATCTTTCACTCTCTCTATATATATACATCACTCTCTCCATAAATCTCTTTCCCTCTCTCTAAATCTCTTTAAATCTTTCACTCTCTCTAAATCTCTCTCTCACTAAAACTGTTTCGTTTTCTCTCAATATCAGTCTTTCTAAATTTGCCACTGTTGCTTTCTTTCTTTCTCTCTCTCTCTTTCTCTCTCTCTCTCTCTCTCTCTCTCTCTCTATCTCTGAATATCTCTTTCTCTACGTCTCTCTAACTCAACCATTTCTCTTACTCTCCCTAAACATGTCCCTCTCATCAAAAACGTCTTTCCACTCTTTCGCTTCTATTTAATAATATATTTTTTATTTTTCCATCATTTCACTCCAAGTAAGGCAATAAAGCCACTAAGATGCAAGGGGTTACTGAGTGTAAGAGAATATAAGGAAAATCACTATTAACATAAGCGAACAATGAAAGAACATGAATTAAGACAGCAGATAACGATTGACATTGCATTTAAATTTTTGAAGATTAAAGTTGACTGAGAAACAAGAAGCTGGAAGAGATCTCTACAAAAAAAGAGCAATAGAAGAAACTGTTAGCATAGAACTTGCGGTTCCATTTAGCAGTTGCATAATTTATTTATTCTATCTCTCGTAATCTCTCTTTCTCTCTCTCACTAATTTCTTTTTTCCTCCTTTTCATCTCCTCTCTTGCTCCTACTCTCTCTTAGTATCTTTCTCTCATTTTCTCTATTTTTCTTGATTCGCATTGTATTCTATCATATCTACCTTTTACTTACTGTCTCTCCCTTTTCCCGTCTCTCCTTTTCTTTCTCTCCGATTTTTCTCTCTTCATATCTTTCTTTTTTTTCGCTTTCTTTCCCTCTCTTTCTTTCTATTATTTCTTTTTTCTTTCTTTCTCCCTCTGTCCATATTTTCCTTCTCTTTCCTTGTCTGTTAATCTCTTTCTTTACCTACTCTCTCTTTCCATATTCATCCTTTCCTTCACTCGTTTTCCTTTTCTCTCTCTCTCTCTTTCTCCCTCCGATGTCTCTCCTTTTCTTCACTTCTCTCTTTTAATATTTTTCTTTTCTCTTCTCACGACTACAACTCTCTGTTTTATAACATTTGAAACTCAATGGTTCTCTCTCTCTCGCCCACACACTCTCTCCCTCTCTCTCTCCCCTTATGCATGCTTATCCTTTTCTTCTTTTATTTCTCACGCGAGCGCTCTCTCTGCTTATGCATACTTTTCTTTTTCTTCTATTTCTCTCTCTCCTTCTCTCTCTCTCTCTCTCTCTCTCTCTCTCTTATTATATATATATATATATATATATATATATATGGCCAAATCGGTAAAGGCACGTCTAGCTAAATGACGGTTCCTCGAATCCTGTCGGAGGACGAATATTTTCTGTGAAAATTTCTCGGACATTCAAGTCGGTGAATGTTGTTTAATACTGTTTATTATAAACAGAGCATTTACTTAAATATTTGTATCTATAAAAATGTATAAACATAAACATGTCTTAATATATATATATATATATATATATATATATATATATATATATATATATATATATTTTAAGACATATATATATATTTCCAGCTCTCTGATTAGTTTCTTGATGTTAAGATGAAATTCACCAAGAATGACCTTGCTGGGGATCGAAAGTACTTAGGCAGGAAAATCTATGACACATTCCTTGATCAACTTCATCCTAGCATCAAACTGGTTGAACAACTGGATAAGATTATTATAAGATAAATAGACATAATACGTATATATATATATATATATATATATATATATATATATATATATATATATATATATATATATATATATAGTACATAAAAAGTTAATAGTCGGGGTTGAATTGGACCAGGGAACAGTAGTTTTAAAAATTGCTCAATACAGGTGTGAAAAAAATTAAAGTTAAAAATAACATATAGAGCTTTTAAATTAAAAGATCAGCTTATTCCGCTACCTTGGTTTCAACCTTACGGTATCCTCAGGTGATTTTTAGTGAGGAAGAAGTTGCGAAGAAGGAAATAGAAGAAGGGGAGGGAAAAGCAAGTTTATTATAAATGTATTGGCGTCGGGGGTTAATTGAAAAGTACATACTTTTTTTATCCAGCTTAAGAGCAATTTTCTTGAATGAATGCAACGGCTCATGACTTCGGATCTCTGATTAAAAAGTTTTTTTTGGATCCGGAAATGTCATTATTGCTAATTTTTCCTGTTGGTTGAAAATTTTATTGTGGTTGTCGTAAGGTATCGCTTTTCTTCTTTTTTTTTTACTTTTCCAGCTTACAATCGGATCCCTGCTGATTCTTCATTTAAATTCCATTTAAATTTGTAGAACTCCTAAGACTTACCAGCTTGAATGACGACCTATGATTGTACCATCTTCGTTTGAAAGAACCTTCAGTACATCATATGTAAGTTTTATTCTGAAAATTACTATAATTTCTGCTTTATAGATTATTCCTATGGTTTTACAAGCTCCATCAAATGGACATACTTTTCTTACTCTTTCTTTCCATCAATTTCTTTATACTGTTTCTTTTCTCTCTCTCTCTCTCTCTCTCTCTCTTCCATATATCACCTTTTTCTCCATATTTCCTCTTTTTTCTCTCTTTTTCCAAATTTCACCTTTTCTCCTCTTCACTTCTTATTACTCTTCATTTCATTCTCACCTCCCCTTCTCTCTTTTCCCATTCCTTCTATTCCTTCTCTTAATATCTATATATCCCATCTTTTTCTTTTCTTCTGCCTCTCTCTCTCTCTCGCTCTCTCTCACTCGATGTACTTATTCTTTCTTTCGCTCTTTTTTCATACCCTTCATTTTCATTCCCTTCCTCTCTTCCTCTCACTCTTTTATTTCTTTCTTTCCTTCTTTCTTTTTATATCACTCCTTTTTCTCCCTCTCATGATTTACCCACTCTCTTTTTTATCTGCCCTTCTTTTATTCTTAGCATCTTTTTTCTCTCTGTTCCCCCTCTATTTCTTCACCTTTTTTATCTACATATCCCTTCGTTTTATATCTACAACTCCCCTCTCCTCTCCTCTATCTTTCTCCATTTCTTTCTACCCATCTCTCTCTCTCTCTCTCTCTCTTTCTCGTTCTATTTATTCTTTCTCTCCCTCTTTTTTCATACCCTTCATTTTCATTCCCTTCCTGTCTTCCTCTCTCTCTCTCTTTTTTCTTTCTTTCTTTCCTTCTTTTTTTCTTCTGTCAACTCTCCTTCGGTCTAAATCTAGTTCTAGTTCTATTCTTCATTTTCTTCTTTCTTTTTATATCACTCCTCTCTCTCTCTCTCTCTCTCTCTCTTTCATGATTTATCCTCCTTTCTTTTTTACCTACTCTTCTTTTATTCTTAGCATTTTTTCTTCTCTCCTTTCCCCCTTTACTTCTTCTTTCTTTATCTACATATCCCTTTATCTACAACTCTCCTCTTCTCTCTCTCTCTCTCTCTCTCTTTCTCTCTCTTTCTCTCTCTTTCTTCATATAATTGTTTTTATTTCCCCGATCTTTTTCCTTCTCTCTCTTCACTGATTTTTAATCGGTGTATTCCGAATGTGCATGTCCTTTCCCTGCAAGGCAAGTTAGTCTACCAAAGAAAAACACAGCAAGTGAAGTAAAATCCCTGGGTGGTGTATAAGTTTGCTCTCGAAAACAAAAACAAAAAAAAAAAACTTTCACTAAAAGACATGTAAATATGGAAGGCGACTGTCCTCCTGGTTCAGAAAAAAATACGGAAAGGTCAAACTTACACAGCCTTTCATTTTTATACTCATTTGTTTATTTTATTCTTTACTCTTTTTCATTTTTCTTCCTCGTTGTTTTTGATGATGATATGGTCGTGTGTCTTCTGTGTGTTTTTCACTTGCTATGAACAGTATGGACGCATTTAAAAAAAAAAAAAAAAAAAAACATGCCCGAAAAATGAGACTGTGAAAAAAAAGATGAGAAAAAAGAAGGCAATAAACAGTGGCTGGGGGAGGGGGGGATCATAACGACGAATAATGGAGAATAGAAAGAGAAAAGGAGGAGGAAAGAAAGAAAAGAAAAAAAAGAAAACACATGAAAAATCTTAAGGCCGGCAACAAAAAAGAAGAAAAAAAGAGGTTACAATAAAAAGAGAGAAGAAAAATAAATAATTAACAAATAGACAAGAAGAAGAAAAGCTAAGAAGAAGAAAAAAGAAATTAAGATGAAAGGGATTGTCAGTGGTCAGGAATTAGTGCAAGCATTGCAGATGGAATATGCCTATAATATGTATAATGTAAACGCATTGTAAATGTATTTACTATAGAAATATATTAACAATCAGGAAGAAAGGGATTATCAGTGGTCAGGAATTAATGTAAGCCTTGCTGATAGAATAGAGCTGTTATATGCATGAACTAAATGCATTACTAATGGTTCAAAAATAAAAAGCATTGACAATCAGGAAGAAAGGTATTATCAGTAGTCAGGAATTAATGCAAGCGTTACAGATAGAATAGGCTTATAATATATAATTTAAATGCATTATGAATGTATTTACTATAAGTAATGAAATGAAATGCAAGAAGAAAGGGATTGTCAATGGTCAGGAATTAATGCAAGCATTACTGATAGAATGGATTTAGTATGTGTATAACGTAAATTATTCTACTATAGATATGAAATAAACATCAGGAATCTAATTATGTTTTTGGTCTTTAAATAAAACAGGATTCTGCGTTAGAATAATAACGATATGCATGTGTGTGTATGTGTATGCACGTGTGTGTATGCACGTTTATGTGTGTGTGTGCACGTGTGTGTGCATGTGTATGTATGTGTGTGCATGTGTATATATGTGTGTGTATGTGTACACGTGTGTGTGTTCACATGTGTGGGGGTGCATGTGTGTGAGTACGTTAGTGTGACTTTCCTCTCTCAAAATTAAAATTCCAGTCGGGCTAATTACATTCACTTATGCGCAAATGCCCTATGAATCCATCCTTTCTTCCCCCCAGCTGTGGGTTAAAAAGCAGGATAGACTGGGTCCGATAGCCTTGGTTGGCAACCAGTCTACCTTAGAAAGGAACGGCAGCCTACTGCTGAAAAGTCTCCTGAATCGAAAGTGACATGATCGCCCAATCGTGTCTCAAGTATGGCACTTAACTGTGACGGAAGTGTCTTTCAGTGTCAATGACTTGTTAAGGATGTTCTTATCGGCGAGACACAAATTGCCTGCCACTGAGTTTGAAACCCACCAGCTGTGGGTACCACAATCCAGCACGATGCAAACGGTTCGACGGCAAACAGTGGTACTTTTCTCTACGTGAAACTTTTCCCAAGGAGTGTAAGTTGTACTCCAAGTGACCCGGTCAGCGGTGGCCCTGAGTCGGCACTCAAAGACTGAAACTTTGATTTTGGCCCAAGAATTTGGCAAACCGGGCATTGTTGCTGCCCAGTGCTTACGGGACACGGTTAATAGGCGCCAAGCAAAACCACATGATGTCACATTTGGTGATAGAGATTCTAGAATGTGTTGGTGCCACATTGAAAAAGTTCTTCCTGGAAGGATGCCAGCGATGTAGACAGTCGGACGACGAGGGATGGTGATCAAAATCCTCTCTGACGTTCCTCGTTTCTTTCTCGGTGAAGTGGAGACGGAGAAGAAAGAAGCCAAGGTTTTGGCGACGTATCCAGAAACAACAGTAAGAAATTGGCATGTGGGTTCTTCGTTTGGCGACAGTCTCGAAGTGTGATGATATGATTGAAAAGTGAGAATGAATAAGCTAGAAAGAGGAGAGAAGTGAGAAAGAAGAAAAAGAAAATGAAAAGAGACAAAGGGGGGGAGTACAGATTCTTTAGAGGTGAAAAAATATGCAAAGATAGATAGATATGTATAGAATAAGATAGATACATAGAGAGATAGGTGTAAACAGAATAAGATTATATATATATATATATATATGTGTGTGTGTGTGTGTGTGTGCGAAAAGTGTATATAAATATAAATAAATATATATATGTATAATTATTTATATATCATATGCGCGGTACTTATTAAGCGCTCAATATCAGAGATGAAACTTACATATCTATCAAACCAAATAAATATATATATATATATATATATATATATATATATATATATATATGAAGAGATAGATAGATACATAGATAGATAATGAACATAATGAAATAAATAGATCGATAATTAGATGTAAACAGAATGAGAGATTAAAAAGAAAAAGTTAAATAGACAAAAGATGAACATCATAAGATAGATATGTAGATCTAAACAGAATATGATAGATAGATAGATAGATAGATAGATAGATAGATAGATAGATAGATATGAACACAGACAGGAATAGATAGATAGATAGATAGATAGATGAATAGATGAATAGATAGATAGATAGATGAATAGATATGAAGAGACTGAGATAGATAGATGAATAGATAGATAGATAGATAGATAGATATAGATGAATGAACATATTGAGATAGATGAATGAATAGATAGATAGATAGATAGATAGATAGATAGATAGATATGAACAGAATAAGATAGATGCATATATATATAGATAGATAGATAGATAGATAGATAGATAGATAGATAGATAGATAGATAGAGACAGATGTGAACAATATAAGATAATAGATACATAGATAAAGACATAGATAAATATATATATATATATATATATATATATATATAGTCATCCATGTACAAGCCTGTTTCGCTGTATCACCGCTCATCATTGTCCGATTGCCTCATGTTGGCATCAGTCAGAGATCCTACCCCTAAGCTATCGGCGCATGGCAGAGAAAGGGATATTTAACGTATTATATATGAGATGTATACAAACGCCAAGAGAGCTCTATTCGTAATTGAAGAGCGGTGCGTTAAGAGCAGCAACAGCCACTTTTTTTTTAATTACACTTTCTCCAGAGTACTCGATTGAATGACGAGAGCATAAATATATATATATGAAGAGGAATTCTATCTTTCTCTTTCAGGTTGTTAGCAACACTTTCTTCTTACTTCTTATACTTATGTGTTATATATATATATATAAAGTTGTAGCCTTGGCTGTCTGTTATCGCTAAAGCGTGAAACCCAGGGTCACAAACTCACATCTATCCAACCAAATATGTTAGCTCTATCTCTGATATTGAGCGCTTTCTAATAAGTACCGCGCATATAATATATAAATAATTATACATATATATATTTATTTATTTATATACTTTTCATATATATATATATATATATATATATATATATGAAGAATTCTATCTTTCTTCTTCAGATTGTTGTAACAATTTCTTCTTACTTCTTATACTTGTGTTATATATATATATATATATATATATATATATATATATATATATATATATATAAAGTTGTAGCCTCTGGCTGTCTGTTTGTTTTCGAACTCCTCCTAGGTTTTGGAGAAAGGCCCCCATAACAATATATAATCTGAAACTACATTACCCAGGGTACTTGGATAAGTATATTTCACAACCCCACAAGTGAATTTTTTTTTTTCTTTGATTTAAATTAAATTTAAATTTGAACAAGGGAATGACTCTTATCCAAAATATAGAAGGAGAAAGCCAGAAGATGGAGATCACAACAGGAAGATTATTGAGTAATATTGAAATGCATCATTTTTCTCCACAAATTATAACAATGATTTAAAATCAATTATCATTTTCTTAGAAAAAAATGTGTGACATGCAGCAAGTCGCGGGTAATTCAGCTAGTACATAATCTATCCATTGTATTCTTAACATTCGACAATAGAATCATGTAAGTTTTTTACTTCAACTGTAAGGAGAATATCCAGCATTCAATGTTACACTGGAGATTAGATATTATACGGCTGTCCGGAAAATGTTTCTAAGGATATTTTGTACACTATTTTCATTATTTGGATCATTGTTCTCATCTTTGTCGCCATACGTATTACAACGTTTCGGCCGTTGTACGTTCCGGCCTTCTAACTAACGCCTTTATCTACTGTGCCATATATCCTCAAGGACACATGGTACAGTGGATAAAGGCGTTGGTTAGACCATGACAGGACCCAAAGAGGAGTTCAATACCCGGTTAGGCAGTGGAGAACTTGAGAGGGAATTAACAGGAGATAACTGACAACTGACATCTATTAAAGATGGCACGTGGAACTAGAACAGTCTACCCAAGTGAGCGAAATAAAGAGTTCAGTTCGACATTCCAACCACTTGAAGAAGGCCGGAGCGTACAACAGCCGAAACGTTGTAATAAATATGGCGACAAAGATGAGGACAATAGTCCGAATAATATAAATAGTGTACATAATACCTCATATCAGAAATATAGACGGATATTTTTGTATCTATAAATACATTGCTTGATTTCCAAAAATCCATCATTTTCATTAAAAAAAATCTAATAGCGAAAGATTGTGAGTAGATTTCATCAATGCTGATGATGAGATTGTTGTGATAACCCCTCCTACAGTAGAATAAAATTTTCCTCCTCTCATAAATACTAACTGCGAGACTTCCCAGCGAAGAGTCGTAGCAGACTCGTAGGGCAGCGGAGAAGAAGTGTTAACCTGATCGTTCGAACGTTCATCTCTATCTGTTTATTACTAACACTCTTGCTTTGTATATATCTGTTATTTCAATACACTTGTTCAACCTACCTCCGTCTTCCGTGTCTTTCGTTCTGGCCCCTAAACAGGCCACAACAGAGATGAGAGACATGATGTATCGGATTTCTAGGTCACACTTTCCAGTGTCTCTTCCTACACTGCCCAGATCATCATCGAAGCTTTTTTCTTCATTGGAAAACTTTGTTACAAAGAAAAGTGTACTGGATTGCTACATGGTATTCATCCTCTTATATGGCAGTAAATGTTGGACAATTTTTCTAAGGATGACGAAAAAACGGTTCCACAGAAGGTTATTGAAAGTTCCAAGAACGAAGCGAGTAAGCAACGAGAATGTCTAAAAGAAAATGGCAGCGAGAAAATGGCAGCGAGAACGCTTATACTAAAAATCAGGATAAGACTGCTGAAATTCTTTGGACACATAATGAGGAAGGAAGACTTAGTAAACTTAGCCCACACGGGAATATAGATAGCAAGCAACATGGGGAAAGCAGTGGGATACTTCAATTGATGGCGGAACGGAAGCAGAATTTTAGCAAAAGGAGAAAAACTGCTGAGCCACATTGAATAGAAATGTTACTGGAATTTCAGCTGCCTCTTTCTTGTTTGTTAATAAGTTTTTGTGTAGGTCTTCTTTTTTCTAAAAAACGTTTTCGTTGCTTACATGTCCTGTCTATAGTATTCTCATCTTTCTTTTATCGAACCACACCTCTGTCGCTTCATGCCTCTTCTTCATGTGTGAGATTTTCTTCCTTTCTAAGGACAGTGCAAACATAAAAAAAAAAGTTGGCAACATGCTGCTCCTCTCAATGATAGCCTTACCTGCCAGCAAGGCTTTGTCTTACGCAGTAAAGCAGGCCATGCTGTCCATTCGCGGAAACATGTGGCAATTGATCCTCAACTACACGAGAAAAATGGCCTAACCACATGTTTGATCTGTCTAAAAGAATGCAAAACCACCTGCAGGCCTTGGGAAACATATATGTGTCCGTAAAAGTTGAGCAGCTCTTTATTTTACTGAACCCTCATTTGTCGCCCGGGAGGAGAGAGACCAGCATATCTGTCTGTCTGTCTGTCTGTCTGTGTGTGTGTGTGTGTGTGTGTGTGTGTGTGTGTGTGTTTAAATAGATATATATTTTTATCAATTCACCCCAAGCATGGCGATAATGCCTCTAATATGCAAGGGTCTGCTGGGAGTGAAAGAGAATGAGAAGACTTTAGAAGCAACTGGAAATCAAATCCTAAAGATGATTGTGTCACCTTTAGCATCCCGACTCCAGAGTTTCGTAGACGGACCCGTAGGGGATATCAGCAATTTACTGCTGATATTTTCGATCTTTTATTTTTTTATGCAATTATCATTTACGCCAGTTTTTCTGTGTTGTTTGTATTCGTGCGTGCATTTGTACGCGTGCAGACATGCCAAATGTGCTTATATATATATATATATATATATATATATATATATATATATATATACATATGAAGAAAAGATACGGAAAAAAACAAACAAAAATCCTTATATACAATTATGCTGTTTTAATGTTAATATGTCAACGCCGGACGTTTCGGTCTAATAAACCATCTTCAGGACATATTCATAAATTATAACATTATCAATATCATTATATTATTAATATTATTATTATCAATTTATGAATATGTCCTGAAGACATATTAACATTAAAACAACATATAATTGTATATAAGGATTTTTGTTTTTTTTTTCCGTATTACTTTTCTTTTGTCAAGATCTATATCCACATATTTGCTTACATTATATATATATATATACATATATATATATATATATATATATATATATATATATATATATATATATATAAAAGAGAGACAGAGAGAGAGAGATATATTTAGATAATATGAACAGAATCAGATAGATAGTTAGATAATGATTGAAAAGGAAGAGATAGATAGATAGATAGATAGATAGATAGATAGATAGATAGATAGATAGATAGATGGTATAAATACAAATATAAGAATATCAATATGTTAGATAGATTTGAAGAGACATTTATATATATATATATATATATATAGAGAGAGAGAGAGTGCGAGAGAGAGAGAGATAGATATGAACAGAATCAGATAGATAGATAGAGAGATAATGAAGGAAAAGGAAGAGATAGATAGATAGATAGATAGATAGATAGATGAATGATATGAACAGAATCAGATGATAGGTAGATAGATGAATGAAGGGAAATATGAACATGAATATCTGAGATATATAGTTTTAACTAAAAATGAATCTGATATATGAATAGATAGATATAGATATATATAGATAGATAGATAGATATAGATATCATATATATATATATACATATATATATATATATATATATATATATATATATATATATATTCCTAAAATTTAAGTAAATCTGCTTAAAATAAATAGTATTAATAACATTTCCCAGCCTGAATGAGAAATAGATAGAAAATGATGACAAAAAATTGAATATATCTACACAGAACCGTCATATAGACGTGCGATATTACTTTTATAAAAGGTTAGCAAAAGTGCAATTACTGCCTATCAATTCTCATGATTTTCTCGAACCTTCATAGCGTATAATGCAACTGTTGGCATCATATATTATGAAATAGATTAAACCCGGAAATTATTTTAATATAGTTTATTATTATAGGTTATTTGCATAGACATATAAAATAATATAGGACGCATATTTTCTATGAAATTTCTCGTACATTCAGGCCGGTGTGTTTTATTTTAAATTTGGAAATTAGGTTTCCCCTAAGCTGATTTTAACTTTCAAAGTTATTTACCATCGCCAAATGAGGAACAATTTCTAAGTTATTTACCATCGCCAGATGAGGAACAATTTAAAGTTCCGAAACATGAAAGTTTTTGTGTAGCGATGTAACATTATCTCTCTCTCTCTCCCTCTCTCTCTCTCTCTCTCTCTCTCTCTCTGTATATATATATATATATATATATATATATATATATATA